GAAGATGGCACGCGCCCGGCGGCCGCCTGCGTGGGGAGATGGCGGGCGCCCACCGCCTGCTTGCCGCCCACGCTGGGGGATGGTGCACAACCGCTGGCTGCCTGTGCAAGAGATGACGCGCGCCCGCTGGATGCCCACACGCGAGATGACGTGTACACACCGGCTGCACGCGCTGGGGGATGGCATGCACCCATCCCCACCAGCCGCCCATGCACAAGATGACGTAAGCCCACCGGTTGCCCGCTTGCGAGATGACACGCACCCGCCAGCCACCCACGTGGGAGATGATGCACAGGGGATGGCGAGCGCCTGCCAGTCGCCCACGCAGGGGGGTGGTGCGTGCCCGCCGGCCCCCCGCACAGAAGAGAGGGCGCACACCCCTGGGCCTGTGGGGGGACGTGCGCCCCGCCGCCTACAGGCTTGGGTTTCCTTGGAAAACCAGAGATGATCACCTATACGATGGGTTGTTGAAAATCACTGTGTGTTGTCTACTTGATGACACTTAACAGTGGCAACATGTTCAAGAGGACCGACATCCTAAATGCACCACATATTTTGATCTGTTGAATGCTTCTGCCAAAAGATGTTTAGACCTGGAGGGAGCCTGTTCACAATTTTCAGGTTCCCTTTGCCATTTATAAAGGGGGAGGGCAGTGACACCTACTTCAAATTATAGTATGACCACTTATGGAGGAGGGGGGTGGTGATGGTGTTGGAATTGGAGACACTGTCCCTGGCCACACAGTCGTCGGTCAGGCGAGAGGCCCATATTGGGGTGGGGACAATTAGAGGGGGAGTGTACCAGCCAGCCCACTGGGGGTGTTGCCCTGCTCAGGACGGGCCGCCAAGGCCCTCTGCCCAGGGCGGGTTGTCTGCGGCCCTCGGCTCGGGGCGAGCCGTCACGGCCCTCTGCCCAGGGCGGGCTGTCTGCAGCCCTCAGCTCGGGGCAAGCCATCATGGCCCTCAGGGTGAGCTTCTCAGTGCCCAGATGGTGCCATCTGACCCCCTGGGTAGGAAAAAAAAATGCCTAGGGTATCCAGAGAATTTTATATAGGCTACTTTCTGCCACCCTCTACCCCAGTAAACCTGAAAGCAACACCCCCAAA